TKATRAWAAAAMRAMRSAWYATYWYWTMWYMTYYWWTRWTWTWRKATTGACAASTGTTTTAACTAYAATATCATTTGAGCGTATAGCTMAAGTTTTGAGCCRTGAGTTGAACTACGTTAGTGGTACGTTGAACGCCTTACGTGAAAGCCGTTGGCATTTGTGTATTTTTCCACCAGTAACTGTTTTCTTACATTCTGTACAGTCATGTATGACTAGTGCACGCTGCATTGGTCATATAAGCACACATTCAAATGTATATTTTGTAAATCAGTATTAATCTAAACGCATTTTTCGCTGATTTATTTTATTTATCTTAAAGAAAAAGGGTAGTCGGCCCCACCCTGCCACCGAATGAACAGGATTCGTTATTATTGCTTCACGCGGAATTTCCATACTCAATGACCACGAACAAAGCATTGAACCGAGGCGTCAAGGAACACTGGTCGCAGATCTTTTCTTTTATGCTTACTTTACCTTGACGCCTCGTTTCAATGCTTTGTTCATGGTCACTGGACCTGAGTATGAAAAGTCGCGGCGAATTCATTACTCCTGAATCCAATGTTCGTATTATTGTTGTCTAAAATGTTTGCATTCGTTTTTTTTTTCTCAATTCTAATTGCGCTGGCATTGACATATGTAAAATTCGCAGTTTGTGGTATTGACCAAACATAGAGAGAGTCTAGTTAGTATTGTGAAACTTAAATCAATAAAAAGTAATGAGCTTCAAATGGTGCGTTCAACTGGAATAATTCTAAACGATTTCATTTCCATATCATAAATATCCTTATAGCTGATTTAGGAGCTCGTGAAAAGAGACTTCTCAGCTAATTTGATCCGACTCTCTGGTTTTAAAACTATTCACTCCGTAGTCTATATACTACTCCGGTAGCACCACTTTCCAGTAATTAGCCTTAGTTTTATTACCATAACTACCAACCCCACCCCACTCCTCCTAGATTTATACGACAGTCGCTATTTATAACAATGTTCCACACCCCAACCCTTCAAACATAAGTAGGAAATTGATRAATTTGTTTATTGATGATAGACTTGTAAAGTGAATTATTTTTACAATTATTTATTGTTATCGAAAATATCTTTTAAATAGGTTTTGAATTTTAAAATTCATTATTTTATGATCTTTGGAACAGCTTTTACTATTTGATCTAGAGAATTCTAAATTAAACTTGGAGAGAATTCCCGATTGAGGCAATACTGAACATCTAATGAGAGAATGCTTGTTTTTTACTGTGGAYGACTGAAGGTCTGAAGCGCAAACTTGAATGGACCCATGAGTTTTCATTTATTCGGATATAGAAATGCAAAATTATTTTCCATCGGTATTCAGATTAAAAACAAATTACTAGATTGTACGATGTAACGAGTTCAGACGCCGAATCCCACATCATGTACCATCTCATTTACATCGAATTCGATGTATGTTAGACTCGATGCACAAGACAGGTTCGCCTAGCCTAGAGCTATAACAAAGACTTTAGAAGTACCTGTCGAAAAACCTGCAGAAAGTCACGCGGGTCAGCGGTTAAAGACGGGATATTTTCAAGCAATTTTTAATAAGTACTTTACATATTTTATCAATTCATTTACAGTGTTTGACACTTATTTAAGTTATATATACAAAATATATCAGTAAGCTCTTCCAAATTTTTCCACATTACTAGTTTATATCATTTCTAAATTATCATGACATTTTTGTCATGTGATAGTTAGGTTAAGTTCACGCTCTTTTTTTTCTGTTGCTATGGCGTTAAATTTAGTTTTATAATTCATAAAAAAACGTTTCCGTGATAAATGTCGTCACAACAAGTGACGTTTATAACCATGTCTATAGGCAACTGACGTAATATCAAATGACGTCACAAAGTGACATCACTGGCAATGACGTCATAGTATTTTATTCGTCACGTGCTTCCGACGATGTCGACGTCACATCGTTTCCATGGAGAAATCCCTTGGTATGGACATGCGCATGTCTTCTAAGGTCGACCTTTCTGTAGAAAGCTCTTCCGCACACTTCGCAACCAAAGGGTTTAAACCCCATGTGTTTTCGACTGTGAGTGATGAGATTCGACGACTGACTGAAACACTTTCCACAATATGTACACTCGTGAGGCTTCTCCCCTGTGTGCACCAGGGTGTGTTTTTTCATGTCGGACTTCTGATGGAATCGYTTSCCGCAGTAGGCACATGAGAAAGGTCTGATATCAGCATGGATCAACATATGYGTTGAGAGAGTTGACGATCTCTTGAAGTGTTTACCGCATTTCTTGCATTCAAATGTCCTGACCGTTGCATGTGTCTTCTTGTGTTGAGTTAAACTTACGAAATGACTAAACGTCTTGCCGCATGTTGGACAAGAATAAGGTCTTGAGGTAGTGTGCGAACGTCTGACATGGAGTTCAAGACTRCGCGATGTRCAGAACACTTTCTGACAAGTCTTACAAKCAAATACCTCCTGTCCRCACAATTCACCGTGTGTGTGGGTGTCAAACTCTTCTTCTTCTAAATCATCAATGTCCACTTTAGARCGATCAAAAGTGATTGGCTGATTCGAATCACGTGGTATGTCCTTCGYCTTCCCAGAATGCGTTTGTCGGCTTATCCCCATTTTCTCGCGCAAAACGAAGCTATCGTGCTCAGGTTTCATAGCGCCATTGTTATGACACGCGGCTTGTTGTCCAATCAAATTAGGCGGAAGTGGTGACGTATAGCTGTTTGTCATGGCTGCTGTTTCGTGTAAGAGACTGGGCTGAGATAAATAGCCATTCGAGAGGTAGCTGTAGTTAAAGCAGTGTCTCATGTCAGCGGTCTCATGGGGCATCACGTGATGCGGTCCTCTGAGATTTGTATAAAATTGGGGGAACTTCCAAAGCAGCTTCGGGTGAACAGCGGACGGTTCTGGAAAAGCAGGCCCAGGCCAATGAAAGTTTTCATTTCTCGTGGGATGAATGGGAAGAAAAGGACTGGGTTTGAAGGGTGGAAGAAGTGGAGAAAAGGCACCATGAGTGTCATGATTGAACGGCTTCACCACTGAAAAAAAAAATGAATGGTTTGAATTCTTCTGAGATTGTTTTAAGTTTGACTTCAAAATACTTTTTCATAATCGTAGGAATATATTTAAGGTGAAGTACCCTTACTATATGTCTAAAACGTACACAATAAGCGGTAAATTCAGTGAAAACTAGTTTCCATTAGTGTTTGTTTGTTTGTTTTTTTTTCGTGTAACGACAAAATTTAACGAACTTTCATTAGTGAACTGAAGAGGTTTTTGAACGAAACTAGTTTTCACTGAATTTACCGTTTATTGTGTACGTTTTAGACTTATAGTAAGGGTACTTCACTTTAAATATATTCCTACGGTTTGAATTCTATATTTGATTAACATAATTTTGAACTATAAAAAATCATAAAAAWTTTTTTTTTACCTAGAATATTGTTATTAGGATTTTGTCATGATGATGAAAATCAAATTTTGACAAATTTTCATGACTATAWTTTCAATGGCGTCAATAAATTTTCAAATCACGTTTTTGACAGTGTGCAATCATTGAATTTCTATTTGACTTCATTAAAGTTTTTCGTAATTAACATCATTAATGCTAATTTTCATCGTGATAATAATATTCATTCGTCTCTCCCCTTTTCTTATTAACGCTCAACCATATTACAACGSGAACATTCACTCGAAACTTGCGATTTACAGGAAAGTGAGCGAGTGAGTGACATATTTGTCCCTTTTCAAAAAACCTTCGATTGCTTAACGCAATCTCAGAATTAAAAATTAAAACCAATCTTGAGTTCATTCGATAAAAAGTTCTTGAYACCAGAATCTATTATCACCCTATAAGACAGCACGATCCCAGCATAATGAGGAATATATTCCCTCATTTCGGTCATGAACTACCGTGCAGTTGTTATCAAAGGAACAGCATGGCTACCGACAAGTAACTCAATGATATTTCAATCAAGCTTCGCAATCAATATTTTCCAATCTGTAGACTTTGATTGCGTGGTAAAGTTCAGCCGTAATTAAAAGGCGTTTTCAATCAATGTTCACAAGACTTGGAAGTTTCTTTAAAAAATTCTAAATTAACAGTAAGAGTCACACTGCGTTGTTAATTGATATACGAGAGCTTGGGTACAACTGATTGAAGACATCTTGAAATGAAAGTTCAAGGGTTTAGGAGAGGCTAGAGCGAAAATTGCTCGCACGAAATCATTTTATTCAGTCTATCTAAGTAAATTTCAAGATAGCAATGATGATTCGTGATATTTTTATTATACCGAGTGATAAAAATCAATATAGTTAAGAATTTCTTCAAAACATTTTAAGTAAACCTTTTTGGAAATTTGCGCTCCTCTAACATGGCTCGATTCACACTTACTGAGATGCTTTACATATATGAAAAAAAATTCGTTTCTTGGTCTGAATCATTTTTTTTATCTCCTATTAATTGAATTCATACCAGAGTTAGAAAATAATCTGAATTTTGGCTAAATGTTTCTTGGTAAGTTTGCTGTAATTTCCCATAATGCATTTATTTTGTGAACAGCTTTGAATACGACAACATTTCTTCAATTCGCTGTAAACTTCATGTGACGTTAGCTGAACCGCCAACATGCTGACAAGATGTAATCAAAGAACAGTAATTTCGCCTTCATGATTGATTGGAATTAAAGATTTCGATTTCTTGGATTTCAAATCATCAATAACTTTGCTACATACTGATTTATCAACTATTTATATGGGTGCGGAAGTTTTGGAGTTTGCTGCCAGATGTAAAAAACATCACAGTTCAAACATTTTTACTTTATTTTTGAATGTTTGTTCCTTTTATCACTGCCTGAATTCACTCAAAACTCAAAATATCTTTTTTATTCATAAGAATATGGCTCTAKTCTGTCTAGTCATAAAAAATTGTCGTAAATTATTATCCCTTTACAAGTGAAGTCAAGCTTTCTTTGTGAKAGASATGGTGAATGAATCCAAATCAGTTGAACAGTTACTATGTACTTTAGAGCCACAAAAAAWAGTCATTTTGCAACATTTTTTACTTTAAAAGCGACATACGCTTCTAGCTTTAGTTTGTAATAACAACAAAAACCTAGTCATTTCAATTACTTCTTATGCATAAAAGTAAAGCTTTCGGCTTTGATAAACAAGGCATATGTTTAGCTACTTCGTTAACTGTACTGTAAAAAAAGCTTTCATTGAACCATTCACAATATACCAATTACGTTATTATCAGGGGAAAATTTAGAGAAGAAATGAGCTTTGCTCTTCGCAAGGTAAATGACCGCCTTGAAAAGGCTTTAATGAACCCATATTGTCTTGAGATTTTGCGAATCACAGCTGGTTCGCCATATCAAGTGAGATGTGATCAATAGTTAATACAATGTACCTTCTATTCTCAGTTACTCACCGAACTGGCGACAGAACGCAGCTGGAAACAGCCTTTGCTCAGAGGTAAATGAGGCGTAAGTGAAATTATGATTTTTTTTCACTGGTCTGTCTCAATATGGGGTATTTGTGTGTTAGATCACAAAAGTGGAAAGTGAAAAATAAACTTGAAATACGAAATGGGAAATTATTCATTTATTCGGTCGTTTATCGTTTCATTCAATTTTGTTTTTGAAGCTCTTTCAACCATGATTCCTTTCGAGCTGTGTTTTAAGCTTTAAAATCATAGTTTCTCRATTCTAACCAAACTTAGTTTTCTCCGCTTTTAATTGAGATATGTATATATAATCTTATAAGATCGACGAATTGAAATGGATTTTAAATGGATATTTAATTCACCTCGATGTGACTTAGTAGTTGTCGTCCTTTGAAAAATAACAAGAACAATAAACGAAAAAGAGGAATCGAAAAGGAAAAAGAGAAGAAACAAGAAAGAAAGTATCAAAGAACTCGARATATTTTTTTAGAAAATATGTCGACTTAATGCGATATTTTCTAGCGGTATATTGTGTGCACTATGAAGTAAAAAAAACACAATCAAAGACTCAACAAAGCACACCGAAACAAACACTAATTATTTCAAAAGCGATGAACACACTTTTAAGGTGACAACATCAAAAAAGGACCATTGACAAACGAAAAAGTGAATACAATACWTGCCATCTTCAAAAGATTCCAAGGTTGCCTTTGAACTACTTCAATTGGGCGACCAGTTGGTAGAGAATGCGTCATTGACCAGCGGTGTTGAAAAATATTACGTTCAAAATGTCAGAATGCTTCACGAAAGATTTTTGCACGCCAGTGCCATGATGTTGATAAATATATGATATAWATGTTGGTAGATATTGTAGCATATCATACAAGGAAACTTATATTATTTTTTAATTCTATATTCCAAGCAGCCCATGTATTTGTTTTRAATGGAAACTTTCTGGATCCATGGTGAGAAGGCGGGCTGCAGTTAATTTAGTTAGATTGTTATAGGACTTTATAAACGACCGTTTGAAGCCATTGAATTGCACTATTTTTTCTGYCTTTGTTCACAATGTGGCGAAGATGAAAAACCAATATCATGGAATGGTTGCTTGAAAAAATGTGTGAACTTTGAGCGCACAAAAAAACTTGTTATTGTTGCTGCTGCCTTTGTTGTCGATGATGATGATGATGATGAAGATTAATTATTATATTATTATTCAATTATTATTATTTATTTTAATTATTATTATAATTATTTAATTTGTTGACTTTTATGAATGGGACAACTTCATCATGTACTATTATCCCATCATGCATTTCGATCTTAGTATCTGTAATGGTCTCGAATCTGGCTCTCTGATCTGTGAAAATGAAACTTTCCTCAATTTGTCGTATTTGGAAAGTGACTTTTGAACTGCTTAAATCATTGCAGTGTAACAAGTACAATTAACTTCATGGGCTCGCAMAAAACACTCCACACACACTTGAACTGTGACGTAAAGAATCAAATATGCCATCTAAAAGGGAGTTTGAGTGTTATTTTGGCCCTTGGCAAGTATGGGAATAGACGATTTGATGTGATGTAGACAATGAAAATCAAGATCATTTCAGATGAAGGAATCAAAAGTTAGCTCTGAAGTACGCTCTAGTAGAAGTATTAAAGTAAAAGCCCAAGTGCTTGTGATAAGAGATCGATCCATCAACAACACGGAGACAAACACGGCCGCTCGGATTCACTCAAGAGCTGGGATTTTCTAACGATTTTGCGCCTCACTCGACTCGATTGGTTTTTAATTGATCTGAAGAGAGATGGATGTGGACACTAAAATCCTTTACACGCTATATASCTTGAAAAAGCATAGCTTGGTGCTATTATAATGTAAACCATTCTATCTTTCTTAACTACGCGTGGTTCGAATTATCTCGATAAGCTTTATCATGATTTTATCAAAGACTGAGACCTTGATTTCGAAGTGTTTCTTTCTTTTCTTAAATTTATCTCACTTGTACTTTTTCGTACAAGCTATAAATGGTAGTACAACTTCTTCCCCGCGGCCCCTTTTTTGAAGGAGAGATAAATTTAGTTTGGATGTAGAATAGCCTGAATTTTACTGAACTTTGAATGCGTTGTTGAATTCCTTAAAAACGGAGCCCTGTTTTCAAATCATTTTTAGCCTCGTCGATTTTTGATAGTTTTTCAAACTAGTGTCACAATATTAAATGTAATATCAGTTACCTAAAACTGCGCGTTTAATTGCGACATTATTAMGCTATTTTGTATCGTTTTGGGGTAACTTTTTTTAATGAATATCAGCGCGTGAAATTCTAATGATGTCGAAGGAATTCTTTTTCTTTCTTTTTTTATTACTGAGAAGTGCCAATTTGAAATAGAMGCAATGGAAGTGACAAATAATCTCAATTGTGAAATAATTTCTTAAAGACTTAGTTCCAAAAAGAAAAATAGACAAGTTGAAAAGAGAATACGAAAAGAAAAGAACAAGCATGGCTTAAAACCCTACCGTTCAAGCTAAAAYTSTTGCACTTTGTGATTTCAATTACGCTAAGTCTACTTAGGGTCTTCCCACACTACAGATACAAGGTGTTCTAGCTCTTTACGAATGCAAAACACTGCAAATCTAATGAAAGCGTTTCAATAAAATCAAACCTCGCTGGATTTTTGAAGTTTAATATAAAAAATAAAAACTTCCATATACGTAGTTCTTAAAATTGTTCATTAGCGCGAATTCATTGTATCAATACCAACACAAAATCACCTCTATATCGGGTTATACTCTTAACAGATTACCAAATCAGTGTGCAAGGCGATAATGATTGGTGTGGTCAAGACTCTTTTTGGCCAAAAGATCTAACAACTTGAACAATYGCTTTAACTCCGCGTCCCCCAGGCYATCGTGGTACCGAAAGAAAAACCGCGSTAAAACTTCGACATTGATTAATCTTTTTTGGTATCTTATCGAGCCATTCAGAGGTACTCGGACAACGGAACAAGCCCAATCTACTTGAAAAAGCACCTGAGTCCTACAAATCTCTCCTGATTGAAATCGTTCAAAACAGTTTGCCAAATATATTTTGAAGTTGTTCGGTATCTCGGCATCACAGAAAAACTACCCAAACTAAAAATAACCAAGCATTCGAGAGGAACTGACACATAATGAAAATACAACGGTACAGATACAATTGACATAAACTGCGCTTCTTGAATAGGAAACTCGGCCGAAAATTAACGTTGTACAATTTGACTCGAGTAGACTTCTGGGCTAGACTTTCTGACTAAAACTCTAGTAAAAACACTTGATATTATAGGTATATAACAATGCCCTGGCAATCACACGCATTTGCTATTGTGTGCAAACAGGATTTAGTGAATCTTAATGCGAATAGATTGAACTGCTTGAGCTTCCATCAGAAATGCCGTGTTTAGTCTTGTTAGCTATCTGGGTTAAAAATCGCTGGCTTTTGAGCAATGCTTTTCGTGAATAATAAGATTAACCAAGTAGGGATGCTTTGACTAACGAAGTCATGTATTTTTGATATGTTTGTGATTGAAGAAAAAGAAAATACGGTTTTTAGAGAAGAATAGACTAAAAACAAGGAAAAAGGGCTGAATCATGCAAATGTTTAGTTGAAAACGCTTCCTTTTTGTGAAACAATAACCAACCAAAACTACACAAACATTTCCCCTAAATTAATCAACGAAATCTAAGAAAATCGGTCGACTTCACAAATCCTATCAGATAAGCGTATGTCTTAAAGATGTTGTGGACGAGTAAATCAAGTCAGATGTGATAGTAGACAGGGAGGGGATCCTGTGTACTTGATTTGGTACATTATACCACAAGCGAAAAAAAATTAATTAGTTCGTATTTATGAAACGAAATATTGTAACGTGAGCGAAGTCGTTGATTTGTAAAAATTGCCCTCCTTTGAATATCCACCTGATGTACTTTACACGATAGAGCCTAGTTTAATTAAGATTCTATTTCTTCAGGCTATAAATCGTTTAAAACTATAAAATCCCATGGTTAAATTCGCATACTTTTGGACGATTTTCTCCGGGTATTCTTTATTTTATTCTATTTTTTCCTTTTTTTAAAACTTTTTTTGACAATTTAACCACAAAGATAGCACTTTTTTTCATGATTCGAATTTTAAAGTGTTGAATTTATGTAAACGATCTTTTCACTGGCGTCAACCCAAAGCTCATCTGACTTTGAAAAGACACCGTCTAATGGTCTTGACGAAACCATTCATAAATCAGAGACTAAGATGTTTCTCTATTCAAAGCGGAGTTTATTAGTGATTCGCGATACTCCAAGCTCACTGATTGAATACTCGTTAGACAGTTCAAATGGGAAGCTGGGAGCAGGTGTTGTACACTCAACGCATCCCAAGCCTAATCAGTCTTCTATATATTTACCAATCCCTGCTGCTTAAGGTCCTTAAAGCAGTAAGATCCTTATGCAAATTGCCCGGACTTTTTAACGAATATTCGAAAAGAGGGCCAATATTGCAGATCGAACGTTTGATCAACGTGAAGAGTGAATGATAAAGAACACTAAGGAATTGTTTAAACAGCCTCATATCGTGAAATTCGAAACTTTACAATGAACCGAACGGTGGAATTCGAAAGGATTTAACCGCACTATGGAAGTGCTATTAGAACTGTGCTATCAAGTCGTTTCCATTTAGATGATGAAATGTTCCATTTTGATCAAAGATTCTTTTTCATCTAGACGCAACTAAATTGTGGCAATCAAACGCGCGATTTAAAATGTACGATCAATACTTCTATTCTTCAAATAATCTATTCACTTTCATTCCAAATGTAAAAGCTCTGTCCATTTACGTGTATGATATATTATGATATATTCTCAATCGCTTTTATTTTCACCTTTTTTTTTGTTAGAATGAGAGTTAAAATAGGAACGCAGACCTGTGAGTCTTCAACGTTGTTATCATTTGGCAGAGCTTAATTGATTACTCAAAGACTACGGAACGGAAGTTCTCCAAAGGAACAAATCTCAAACTGGTTTTCTTAAGTTTTTATGGAATTCTCTATTAATAATTAAAAGCAAACAGATTTATGTGAGATATAGCAAAGGGTTTTACCTTGATCATGCACGCCCATCGCATTAGTGCACTGACTGTTTAGTGGATGGGAAAATCCAGAGTTCGATTCAGGATTCGTGCTCACTTCTACTGTGATTTGATTCTCTGGCAAAACATCTGCCTCTTCTTTGAAAATCGCTTTCTCTCGATGAGATTTGCTCACTGTCGAGACTCCTCTTTCTGAAACAAACCAATTTTTTTTAGACTTCATTGATAAAAGTTTTGGCCTGTGTTTGAAATGGAAAGAGTTCTATAAAAGAAGTCTCTGCCAGTTGAATTATAATTAGTGTTGAAATAAGAAAACAATTTAGGGTTTTGTTTTTGCTCAATATAGCGCTGTTTCGAGCTGAGTAAAGTAAACATTTTTTCTTCTATTTCAAGTTATAATCACTCAAATCAAAGAACAAGGACTCCTAAAAACCGCACGACATCGCCGTACTTTAGAAATATGAAAAAGAAAACTTTTAAACAAACATTTGTTCAGTTTTTAAAAAGATCACAAACTTCAAATCGCATTACTTTATAAGCTTACCCATTTGGACTGGAGTATTAACAGGCTGGCTTGTACTACTCTGACTGGAAACAGTATATCGCGATTTTTTTCTTATAAGAAAAGAACGCGGCATGATTTTCAAAATCCCACGAAATATCTTGAAATGTTTGGATTTGAACCTCTACAAATGTAACAACGAGTTTGAACGTTAAACAAACTTAGAGTTGTGACTAGAGTTGAATCAGAGTGCAACTTGTCTAAGACGATGCAGTGTCTAAACTGCGAATTTATTTACCTGAGAAGCCATTCTAGTGTTACAGTGATTAGTGACTGACAGATGTCTACGGTCTCTGATTGACTGATGACATCACGCCTGTGTTTTGATTGGCTAAGTGCTTGCGTCGCTCCCCACACTAATAAACTCGATGCAACTGATTTAAGGGCTATTTTGGCAGCAAAAGGAAATTGAGGTTTGGATTGATTAGATTGATAATCGCAAAAAGCTCTCAATAGCCTTTGTGGTAAGAATCAAAATCTACAGATGAAAATTACCAACGTAAACGTTTAACCGATATGGAGTGTTTGCGTTCCGTTGAGATGAATAAAACGAAGATCAACGAGATGTCTAGCTTGCGTTAAAACATCTTAAATTCAAAAGTAACTTGAGGTTCACATCGTTAAAAGAAGGTTATCAAAAAAGCAGGTTTTTTTAGCGCGCACTGAGGGACTCAATGATTAGCTGCCACACCCCAAGCGACCGCAGCAGAGGCCAGGGGGCGTTTACTTTTCAAAGCAGAACAGAATCGACTTAGATTAAATGTATTCTTTCATTTCAACTTGAAGCCAATATAGTTGTTTTCCCAATTTACAATGATTTCGCCCACTTTAATTCATCACTACCGACCATCTGATCTAAATTTCCCTTAATTGAGGCGCCATCTTTGACTCAAAGACTTCAAAACTTCAAAGCGCCACTGAAGTCAACGGCAAAAAGCATACAAGAAAGAACTCGTGTGTGGCCTGAAACACTAACCGCGCGCGCCAGAACACTTACAGTTTCAATCAAGTTTATTACTTCAGTAATGAGTCGTGTGTAAGAGTTTTTTTTCGTGATATGGTTTCTAAAGCGTTGTTATTTACGCTGGGGCACTTGGATGATATTTCAGTTAATGGCTTCTAGTCAATTAAACTTGCGAAGCGAAAGAGAGAAGCTAGTGCAGCCAACAGCTACCTATATAGCTCTTATATCACTCTTCGCGCATTTATTGCAGACCTTTTGACAACATCACGCTGCCTTTAATATCGATACCCTTGTAAAACTTCTAATATGACCGATTCAAAGCTGTGCCTGGCCGGAAAAATACAATCCTCGAAATCACGTTCGATTTCCAATAGAAAATCGGCATTGGTTATATCACAAAAATATGATCGCTTATTCATCGGGGCTTATGTTGTTCTCCATTCAAGTTGAATTGCAGATTTGCTCAAGAGGCGGCCTCAAGTGGACACTTGAGAATCAGCTCTGCATCGTATCACAATCTACCATAGAGGCTGTTAGAAGCTATTCAATCGAACACGATTTTAACGCCAACAAGAGGCTGCCGACGTTCAGAAAAACTGGCCTGAAAATCGCTTCAGCTTATATATGACTTCAAAGCATTTAGAGTGCCTGTTTTTGCGCTCGCTTTCCAAACGACATCAATATATAGAATGAAGTACGTGATCAGATTAAAACCAAAAAAAAATGAACCGTCTTTTCCTCTAAAAAGAACCCCATTATCTTGATTTCCCAGTTCCATATGTTAAGTGAACATATATCAAAATAACTGCAAAGTTGAATGGATTACTTGATAAATAGACTTTTTAGGATTCACTTCATTAACGGAAAATGAGAAAACAACTTTTTTTTATTCTTGATACAGCGAGATGATGATGACATTTGATATATTTCTATACTTTTGGTCAAATATATCATATATTGAATACAAAAAATAAACTCTGTACTTTTGAGCTGTGGTACTTTTAATTTACAACTATGTGTTCGACTTTCAGATTAATTTGTATTCTTAAGGTTAATAAACGTTTTAAGTCAGATTGAAGGTGAAATGTTTGAAGGATAGAATTTACCAACAAGTACAAATGATTTTTTCTCGTGCCGACAGTACTAATTCAATCAGTTTGGATTCACATAGCTTAACGAGTTAATGACGCGAATCAATGAATCTAATCTAGCCACTGACAGATTTAAAAACCACTAACGAAATATAGTAAGTTATATGATTGTTTCAAATGACTCTAGATCGACAGCAACTCTGTTCAAGTTGTTAATGAGAAAAAGAAATAGTACTGAACGCAATGGAAAGTAATAAATGCATATTTCATCACTTGAAAGCTACTTTTAACGACGTAATTTAGGAGTTACTAAAAAATTGAAAGCGACAGAAAGAACTCATGGGTTGAATGATAATATTTTTTCCTTATTTTGCTTGATAAAAAAACGTGAAGTCATAATAGAAGCATATGAAATTTAGCGATAATAATTACACAATTACATGACTGATTCCGTGTTAGAATATATATCAAAGGTTCATACGGCGAAAACACGAGCCTAAATTAAAGATTAAGTTCGCTTATTTGCGATGTGATTCTTATTCAAGATATGTCGGTATTCTTGTAACAAGACAGCTTGCGAAGTCTTCATTAATCCAAAGCCGGATCGTATTAACCTCTGAACGAAGCCTGCTGATTCCGTGAAAATTCAATAACCCTCGACAAATACCGAGCGAGATGAAAAACCTCGGAACTGCTTGAGATAAAAAGGCTTCCTTTATTAAGCAAAAGAATACTTTATTCAGGTCTCTACTTTTATACTAAAAAGAACTCCGTAATTAACTATATTACGACCTCTTTTCTGTATTTTTGTAGTGAAAATTTCAACTAGTGGTGTTGTAAAATCCAAATTTGTTGGCTTTTTTCAATGTGTTCTTTTTCTCAGCTGGCAGCGACGAGCTCTTGAAAAAGAAATAAAAACATTCAGTTCATCCCGCTAAGATTTTATCAAGATCACCTACAGTTTTATTTCATATGACCGGAAAAAATCAAGCCAGCTTCACGTTTGCCTGCAACACCCCTAAAGGCTACTGTCGATAGGTCAATAATGTTATATATTGCCATAAATTTTCGCGCTCCTTTCCTGTAATTACTATATAGCCTTGAGACTTGGAAATCCGTGTATAGTCTCTAAGTAGGGGAAGACGATAATACTACGGAATAACAGTGGCCTTTGTGAGATTTTTAAGACAAAATATTTGCACCAATGTCGGTGTAATTACATATGAGATACCTAACAAGGCATTATTATATTAACTTTTGAGAGTCAAAAAAATCTTGACAACTTTGTATTAAACTTCAAAGTTTGGTTTTGTTAATAAAGGCGAAAACGTCAAATTATTAGAAAAATGGTTAATTTTCCAATAAAATTAGCCTCGTAAGGCTATTGAGCGCTTGACAAGTACATAATGTGTTGAGAAAAAGAGGGAATGTTTTGTTGATTATCTGTCGCGCGCCATTATCGCACGTATTTCATTACAAGCTTGAACGACTTTCAATTAGAAGTTTATTTTTGTGATTGTTGCGAATATAATACTCACTCAAAGCAGACACAACCTTAACAAGACTACAAAAGAACCAACACACACAAACCACGTGCTAAGCACGCGCCGAACACTTGACCGAACAGGTCTTTGATTGCTGCTAATCACAATGTCTTAAGAAAAAGTGTCATTTATGTTAGGGTCTTTGTGTTGGCCTAAGAACTGTCTACCGAACCGTTTAGAAATTATATAAGACATACACAACATCAAAACGCAAAACATTGCTATTAATAATGTTTTTAAGAGGGCAATTAAGGAGCGTGTGTCCCCTTCAGTTCATCGTAACGGTCGATCATTGTCTATATAATGAGATCAAATGATGCTTAACTTTTCTTTGCAAAGTGGTATCAAAATAAAGGCTCATCCTGTAGGCAATTAGAGTTTCAAGCTCATTTTATCGAATAAAAATTTAGTTTGTCACAAACGGAAAACCATTTCAATGCTCGTTTTGAATGATTGACGTTTTCGCTTCAAGAACCCATTTAAATGCCACTGAAATCCCATTTTTTACTTTGAACGGCGTCTCTCGATTTGGATGAAAATATCTTGAACATAAAAAGGCAGAACAATGAAATTACCGTTAAATATCACAACTGAACAAAACATTCTGACAACATAAATAGTCATAAACATCATTAATGTAAAAAGGAACTTTTGTGAAGCCATTCAAATGCATGACATGAAGCCATTCAAGTGCACTAGATACATGCGTGTCTTTGACGCGTGCAACGACTTACAGCAGAATTGATATCATTTCAATTACTTTAATGGCAATTAACTAACACACACACGCGATTTAACTCTTTGTTTTGCTTTGACAAAAACTGAAGTAGTTCGTTGTGAACTTTTAAGACTAAGGAGTTCCTTTAAATTCAAAAAGAAAACGACCCCGTTCAAAAGTTATCAAGTTTAGTGACTCGAGATTTCCGTCGCGTTCTACAGTTTTCTTTTTGATACCAATGACGTTGTACTTTCACCTGTAGTGGGTTTGAGCAACTGCGCGTTAAAATGATAGCAGAAAAACTGAAATTAAATCACACAGCAATGTCATGCTAGTTATCGAGATACAGAATGCAATCGTGTATTGTGATGTCCCGTTCTTCTTAAAACGAAGAATGTCTTCCTTCGTTTGAACCCCTATGAGCACTCCTAGACCAGCTGAACGATCCTGAACTGTTGCGCAATTTCCCAGCAAGTTATTACGTATAGCCCTAAAGACAGCCAACTGTGCTTGATCCAGTAGGCTAGCAATTTTAATAATCTAAAATTTTAACTCTGACTGCTAGAGTTTAAACATTAATTTATGAATGATGTTACAACATGTAAACGGGACATGACTTCAAAAAATTCTTAGATAGTCAATACCATTGTGGCCCATAAAAACTCAAATCCTTAGTTTAAGTTTAATTTATAATTGCTTAACGCTTTACCAAATGAGAAAAGGTAGGATCACCTAACGTTGCACAACATTCATTCAGCTTTGTCCTTTGGCCAGCTTCTTTGATAGTGATGGATGTTTTATGGGGCAGCCACAAGGACGTAGTTTAATTAAATTATGTAAAACATCCTAGGATTGAGCAATCTACATTTCTCTTGCGTGCGATGTTTTTTAGCCGGTCATTACAAAAGTTTACTAATGCATTTACGTCTACTGTGGCTTTAAATTCAGCCGTATCCATAGATATTGTACCCAGAGGTTGTTACAGCCTGCGAAGCATGCCGTGAGGGTAGGAACGTTAGTGAACTATAGCAAGCTTTAGAGTATAAGTGTATGATTGTAGCTCAGCAAGATAATCCTGTTTGAAGCCGTTTGATCACTAAATAGTTTTAATTTGTAACTGTTCAACAATTTTGTCGGGCTGATGGTCCAATAAGTCTGTTGTTGCCTGGACACACACTATTTCTGATTTTAATGACCTTGGCCGATAGGTCAGCGAATCCTAATCCTTCTGCTTGGTTCTTTCTCTCTTTCTTTCTTCCTTTCTTTCTCCCTTTCTTTCAATCTTTTTGCGGGTTTGAAGTGAGGACTCGCCTCTTATTCAGGATATAAATGATCATGATAAAAACAGGACTGAACCAGAGAGAACAAACAAGAAACTACATTATATGATAAAACTAGTTTTTATTTCGCGTAATTGTCTGTGATGGCGTCTTTTGACACTGACCTTCATTGACCAAGTCAAGGTGTACAAGCCTTTGTTGCTGCCTTGAGCATAGTGTTCTTGTAATCGTCTATTCAATCGCCCAAAAAAATGAGTTTTTACATGGTTTTTTCGAAGAAGGTAACAACAATACAAAAACGATTCGCACAATTATATAAACATTAGGACTTGAAACAACATTATAATTGTTCCCCGGATTTCACGAGCGCATTCAAACTAGTTAATTATCGGATGTTTGTTGTTGCTATCATAGCTCTTGTCTTCAAGTTGTGTTAAAAGATAACGATAGTTTCCATTTACACCTCGAGCTGAATGGCTCCATATTACACTTTTTCAGTTTTATTCTTAAGCTGTTTTTCTCTATATATACCCACGTGATATGAGCTGATATTTAAGCGGTAAGCAGCCAATCAGAACACGAGTCGGCTCGAGTTCTATAAGTACTAGTGATATCGTGTTCTAAGAATTCAGATAGAGCAACACTGTAGGCTCGGGTCTTAGCGCACATATGATGTTCATGAAGACCTTATAATTAGCATGAAGATCTAATAATATTTAGGATTTTGGCCTATTTTAAGTGCTAATTGTCTATTCTTTTTCTCAATAGATTTATAGACACAAGACTTTCAAAAAGTCCGTTTTCGCCCCCGTCACCACTCCTCACATAGATTTATTCCTTCGCTTGGTTCTCGAATTTGTTTTATCATTACGTTTTGACGTGTGGCATGTCCTACACTAGTAGAACTTAGACTCTTATACAAGGAGACTTTTGCTGGAATGTGATTAGGAACTATTCCTAAGCATTGCGGAATATTATTGTTTCGCGGAGTTTCCGATAAAAAGCAACCACCTGAAAGTTAAGTCTTCCCGTTAGTTTTCAAGTGTAAACAAAAATGTCAGCTTATCAGTTAATAGCGCGGGTTTTTTTATCCTTTGTATTTGTATTTGCAGGGTTCTCGATGTCACATCCGACTATCGTTTTACTAGAGAGGTTTTTACTGATAAAAGTCAAGTATAGGAAATCAAACATCGCTTGGTTAAACCGATGGTATCGTCGTAATGGCTTAATTGGCAGAGATGTACAGCGCGTCGGGTCGCAGATCTAAAAATACACTGCCTAATAATCAAGGCCATTTTTCTTCGACGCAACTATCGCAGCTTTTGAAATATTAAAAATACAGTACTCGCGTGTTTTAAGACCGCAAAAGACAATGTCCTGTTTTTGATTATTAATATTATTTTTATTTATTTATTAATTTTTTTATTTTTATTTTTTCATTTTTTTAATTTATTTTTATTTATTTATTTTTTTTTTTTGGGGGGGGGGGGATGCAGTAACGCCATTTTATTATAATAGGGAGACTTCTCACAAGTTTTCAGGGACATCTGAAATAATCTCCAAGATTCGCTTTTTGCGGTTTTCTTTATAGAAGCGTCAAAATTACTTTCATGGTTGTAAAAGAAAAAATGCTAAAAAAGGGCATAAGTTTAGCTTGCTTTCAATGTATAAACCGAGAAAATTGCGTTGCTGAACTTTTGCTATTTTCAAGAATTCATCTGTGTGAAAGATAGCTTTTATTATGAATACAATCACAACCAAAATATTCTTGTCCTTTTTAGGTCAGTTTAAATTTAAAAAGTTTGATGATTTTTTTCACATGTGATTCGAGAATAGCAATGTATAAAATTATAATATTACTCAGTTCTAACTCCAGAATAAACATTAAAAAGTGAAATATAAAACATATACATAATTAATAACTGACTCCTTCAATCTGATTCGTCGGATGAAAACATCACGTGACGACGTCGTCGTCGCAAAGTCGTCGTCAAGTCATCGGGAGCAAACGGTGGTATAATCGAGACATCTTCGTAAGCACGACTCATCTCCGCATCAGATTCATCAGAAGAGTACATCGCTCGGCTAAATTCTGGTCTTCCTTCACATGGCATAATAGATCTATCAAATGCATATTTGTCATCTTTCGGCTTTAGTAAGATGTTGTAAACATTGCTGAAAGGTCGGAAATTTTGCATTGCCATTGGTCGAAGTGTAGCGTAAATCAGGCTCAATGCTGCGTAGACACAGCGGTATGCCAAATAAACGCATGCTTGTACGGTTTGGAGGACCACGTACGGGGTTAGCACTAAGATTGTCCAGAAGATGAGAGTGCTGTAAATAGTTGTCAGTACGGTGTAGCCAGTACACAGAGTTATCGCACCTACGAAGATTGTTAATGGTATCACAAAGGGGTCTTGCTTGACTCCAAGAAGATTTTTCAGTGGTAAAATTGGGTGACGCTCGGGAAGGCTTTGAAAAACTTGCCACAAAGTCTTTGGCGGTGGAGGGGAATCCCTGGAAATCAAAAACATCAAAACGTATCTATAATGTAATGTTATTAGTTGTTAGGATTTATTGCTAGTGGCGCGTGCAAAACACTCAGTTTGCTGAAGAAGGACGAAATGCCGAAACGTCCAATAAAACAGAATTATTATAGCTTCAAGTTGGTGTTTTGTTTGATTTCATTCTACCTATAATGTAATGTTATGATATATCAAAGAAAAACTGGAGCAAAATTTTTATTTCAAGTTTCCATTTCAAGTGATCTTGATAGCGGAATGTTTGCTAGTCAATGAAAGGTTTAATTAAACGCTCCTTCAATAGGTCCTCAATTCTGAAATTAGATTTTTTTTCCAGAAACTTCGATGCGATCAGATACAAACGCCTGTACTTATGACAATTGCGAAAAGCTAGTTGATATTTTCTGATAGCCTAACCAGGGCGTGGCACTTACTCGTCAAAATCAGGATCCCCGTCCATTTGGAAGAGTTTTTCTAAGACATGATGTTGTTGTGCGTAACCGATTTACGTCCTTTGTGATGTCACATCTAATTTGACATCAGTGCGCGTGCGTGAAGGCGATTGAAGTTGATTACGTCACATAGGCTGCCCAACTATTGCTTGATCTGAGAGAAAAAGAACGAGCGAGCGCTTTTATTATTGACAAACCATTTTGTATCCCGCGAGGCACGGGATCGTGACGTATTCCACAGGTACCCATCAAAATATTTCGAAGCTCTACTTACCATTGCATTCGCGAGTGTAATTTTATTAATTTTATTGTCTTTCTCGTTGAGTAATTTGGAAACGAAAACCAACGTGAACATAAAACTATTTATGAATCGCATGATGTATATTTGACTATAATATAGATGACAAAAATAGCAAATGATAATGATGTCAGGTTATGAATAAAATCGGCCATGTATAGGAATGAACCATCGACCAAACCCATGTCATCAGGCAAGTCGTCATCGTACTCATCATACACTATAACAGGACGACTTATTCTACGTCTAATGTCCTGAATTTCATCCGTAAATGATGCGTAAGACTCTTGCTGTGTTTCTAGGCCGTATAAAGGTGTTTCTGGATACGGGACCGAAGGGCCGTCATTGTTTGAATACTGTGGTACATTTTGACGGTGGTGTTTAGGCTCATTCTCTTGATCAACATCAGGTTCGTGTTGTTCTTGTGAGACTTGTGAGAATAATGTCATTGGATCAGCAAAAATTCTCTTTACCGAGCGATACAAGCGAACTGGACCGCCAAAATACTTCCAAAGAAACTCCTTAAAAGCTTTCATCATTCTGTAAGCTAATAATGTGAAAAAAGCTACAGTAACAGAAAGCGCTATGGGTATAATTACACTTACTATAAAAGCAAATACTGCCATTAAGAATAACCCACATTCTAGAAAAGCAAGGCCTAATATACTAAAGCCCACAGTTCCCGCAAATATAAAAAATACAAGAAGCACAAAAGGAACAATGAAAAGACCAAAAACTGTTCCAAAGCAAGAGTGAATGATTGGGAGGTGTTCACCAAGTCTTCTTAAGCGACCAATGATGTGATTTTGTTCAATGACGTCCGTGAGGATTCCATGTGGGTGTAAGGTCTGTGATCTTCTTCGTAAATCATGACTTTCTGATCTTTTAGGTTTTCCGGCCATAAGAGAAACTATGACTTGTTTCTGGAACAGAATTGCCGTATTGAAACTGTAGCAGCTACAAGAGAAGCAGATAATTGCAAATTCAGCAACAATACCAGAAATGATTACTTATTTGACTTAGTTTGTTTAACATGGTTAAAGAGTTACGAAGAACCTATCGGCGTCTTAGCACATGCAGCCCAACCACTCATTCGAAAACATTTAAGAAATGTTTGTGAAGTATTATTCTTTTAAAGCGGCCTAATGTTGGCAACAGAATCCAGACTTACATCATCGTAATACTTAACACTTATTTACTGGAACCGAGGGAAACAGYATGTTTTGYGGTYCCGAGACCGCTGATGTTTCCCGAAGCGAAGCTGAGGGAAACATCAGCGGTCGAGGGACCGCAAAACATGCTGTTTCCCGAGGTTTCCAGTAAATAAGTGCTTTATTATCATATCAAGTGTCAAAGAGAGCAAAAAAAGTAAATAAATGAATTGTTTTTATTAAAGATTTTGATAAATTGACTGAAAAATGGCAATACAAATAGTCACTTAAAATCAATCAATGCAATAACACAATGAATACTAATTTAACTATTTGTAGTCGAAATTAAATGTTTCATAACAATTTTGGAATTGCAACGTTCGTAAATGTGACATTTTCACGACACTGAAGATTGTTTTTCTGCGACTTTGTACTTATTGACGGTCCACAACATATTATTGACCGCTGGTGGACAGTTGCCGGGAAACAGTAAAATTTTGTGACTTTCACGTGGTACACTCTCGACCAATAAGATACTAGGAAAAGTGAACTTTGACACTTGATATATAATAANTCTCCTGCCCTGTCATCAATCTCTTTAGCAATGCTAAGTCTCTTTTCGTAATGTTCAATTGCCTTGTTATACTCTCCTAATGATTTATAAGCATTTCCTAACTTTCCATAGCTGCTTCCTTCCCCCGCCCTGTCGCCGATCTCTTTTTGAATACTAAGGCTTTTTTCAATAAATTCAATTGCCTTGTGATATTCTCCTAATGACTGATGGGCATGTCCTAAGCTTCCATAACTGCTTCCTTCTCCCGACCTGTTGCCATTCACTTTAGAAATGCTAAGGCTCTTTTCGTGAAATTCAATTGCCTTGTGATATTTTCCTAAAGCTTGATAAGTAATTCCTAAGTTTTCGTAGCTCCTTGCTTCCTCCGCTCCGTCACCAATCTCTTTAGCAATGCTGAGGCTCTTTTCTTGACATTCAGTTGCCTTGTGATATTCTCCTAACGATTGATAGACACTTCCTAAGTTTCCTTGGCTGGTTACCTCTCCTGACCTGTCACCGATCTGTTTAGCAATGCTAAGGCTCTTTTCATGATATTCGATAGCCTTGTGAAATTCTCCTAATGATTGATAGGCATGTCCTATGTTACCGTAGCTATTTCCTTCCCCAGCCCTGTTGCCGATTTCTTTTTCAATGCTGAGGCTCTTTTCATGATATTGAATAGCCTTGTGATATTCTCCTAATGATTGATAAACAGTTCCTAAGTTTCCGTAGCTGTCCCCTTCTCCCGCCTTGTTTTTGATCTCGCATTCAATGGCAAGACTCTTTTCATGATATTCGATGGCATTGTGATATTCTCCTAATGCATGGTAGGCATTTCCTAAGTTTCCATAGCTGCTTCCTTCTCCAGCTCTGTTACCGATGTCTTCTGCAATGCTGAGGCTTCTTTTATGATATTGAATGGCCTTGTGATATTGTCCTAATGATTGGTAGGCATTTCCTATGCTTCCATAGCTTCGTCCCTCTCCCGCCTTGTCACCAATGTCTTTAGCAATACTAAGGCTCCTTTCGTAATATGTGATTGCTCTGTGATATTCCCCCAATGAATCATATGTAATTCCTAAGTTTCCGTAACTGGTTCCTTCTCCGGCCCTATCTCCAATCTCTTTTTGAAGGCTAAGACTCTTTTCATAATAATCTATTGCCTTTTGATATTCTCCTAATGAATGGTAGGCATTTCCTAAGTTTCTGTAACTGCTTCCTTGTCCACCCCTGTTGCCAATCCCTCTTTCAATGCTGAGGCTCCTTTCATGATAATCAATTGCTTTGTGATATTCTCCTAATGACTGACAAACATTTCCTAAGTTTCCATAAGCATGTCCTTCTAGCGTCCAGTGACCAATCTCTTTTGCAATGCTAAGACTCTTTTCATGATATTCATTTGCCTTGTGATATTCTCCCAATGATTGGTAGGCATTTCCTAAGCATCCGTAAACTTTGCCTTCTAGCGCCCTTTTACCTGTGTCTTTGGCAATTCTAAGGCTTCTTTCATGGTATTCAATTGCCTTGTGATATTCTCCTATCGAGTCATAGTCAGTTCCTAACCTTTCGTAACTGATTCCTTCTCCTGCCCTGTTACGAGTCTTTTTAGCAACGCTAAGGCTTTTTTCATGGTATTCAATGGCTTTGTTGTATTCCCCTGATTTGTAATACGCGTCTCCCAACATTTGATAAAGCATCATGACAGCTACGAGATCTTTCAAATAGGTTGCCATGAATAAGCACTCTTTCAAGAAGCAGATTAATGACATATTGCTCAAGTCGTCCAGCCAATTTACACCCACACATAAAACACAGAACCAAATAAAGAGCTTGATCTTCTCACTGTCAACCATGGTCCTGAAATTAGTTCACTAGTTTTATTGCAAATTCTAATAAGACTGAATTCAAAATGGATGATATTGTATTTAAAAAATACAAGTATTTCATGTAGTGTTTAAATTCAAGCAGTGAGAACTAGACGGGATTTCAAGTCTGCGCAATTAGTTCCAGTCCGAGGCGTTAAACGAAGACTGGAACTAATTTCAAGGACTTGAAATCCCGTCCGGTCCGAATTGGAGGGCTTTGAACGACTTCTCATAATCATTAATTAATCGGGTGGGGAAAAAGCGAAGGAAAATACATATAACACCAATATATTATCATTGCATCTCAACCCAGATTTTCAGGTAGTACAAATCCGAGGGTCATGGGTTCGAATCTCAGCGAGCCATCTACAAAAGCACGTACGGAGACACAACCCAGATTTTCAGGTAGTACAAATCCGAGGGTCATGGGTTCGAATCYCAGCGAGGTCGGAAATTAATTTTTCTGMATTYATTTCCAAGGGTCTTTCTYYYGGAATAACCTYCTTCYWAGCACTATAACTTTCYTTTATTTCTATATCATGTTTATCATAGTGCCATGCGKTCCTCAAAATCATATCTTTATATATCAAAGATCTATTTTCAATTATTTCTAATACTTTGATTGCTATTTAACAATTAGACCTCGAGGTCGAGTGGACTACGAGCTAATAGCCCATGAGGCCGAGTCCGCGAGGCCGAATGGGCTATGAGTTCGTAGTCCACGAGGCCGAGAGGTCTAATTGTTTTAGTATAAACATACTAATCGGTCAAATAATSARMACAAATTGAAATATCCTTAAAATAATTTATTAATGAGATTGATTTTCCCGCAAGTGGTCTATCACAAATTTGACCATTAGTAGAGTAGCCAATCACAGCGCAGTATGATTGATAGACCCTTAATATGTTTATACTAATAGCTAGTAGTAGTTTGAAAAAGGGTAGAAGTAACTGCAAAATAAGGTAGAAGTAACTGGATGCAAGGTAGGAGTAATTTCCTCTGGTTTCCAGTTACTACGCGTGGTGCAAATTACAATCAGGGATTGGCTGGATACCTCATCAATAATTAATGGCTATGAGAATGTCTTTTCAAAGACGAGTGAAGCGAAAGATATTATTTTCCGAATGTTTTAAAATCTACACAATATATATCCAGAAAAAATATATGAAAGTCTTCTGATCAATTTGCACAAATTCTTTTTACGCTCCAAACGAACAGTCCTATTGTGGGGAAGAGAAGTCGGCTCCAGGCCTATTCGCTCGGCCAAATCTCCTCAAAATTAGGTCGTTTTCTACAACGATATTTGTATTATTCCTCTAAATTATAATCTATTTTTAACCTTGAAAATTAAGTCTAATCCTTCTTATTTGTGATTTTTTCGTCCTTTTTGACTTACGATGTGTGTTTTCATTCGTAAATGRTCGMGATCGTACTTCCTGTTTGAGTCTTAAAAACCACATACTCGAACGTTTATAAGCACATCAGCAATAGTCTTAAAATTTTCTAAACTTCCATTTTATGCATTAAGATCGCTTTTTCCGTCGAAGAAAATGTGAAATTTACTAATAATAACTATACATTTCTAGTCTAGTGGATTAGAAGCTAAGTTATTGCGGCTTCGGAAGTTATTGTTGTGATTTACCTTGAATCTTTCGAGTCTGCAGTCTCCAGTTGGCCTACAAAACGTCTGTGTTATCTGTTGACCCGATGCCGAACCAAAAGTAGATAGTCCTTTGAACGTTATTGAACAAAATTTCGCTAGAATGATGTTATGAAGCGCCGATAAAAATGAAAGGACGCAACCTAATTATTGCGTATATACGGAAGCTTAGTCTCGGTCTGTGATTGGTTAAAATTGTACACGGTCAGTGGTCCTGCTGCGCAGTTGTCTGGCGAAAACAACGGTGAATAATGAGTTTGAATTTGAAAAATCCCAAGGCATTACCAAAATACAAAATTTTAATATTTTTGGAAAACTAGCAACTTTTCTTTTTCTATATAATTTTATCTTGATTTTGACTTTAATCCGTCACTTTGACCTCTGAGCAGTTTTATTAATATACGGGGGAGCTGGTAGTCTGACCTACTTTACCTTGCTAGAACTGGAATATTTCTTCCCCATATTGAACGTTCAGTTAATAAGTCCTACCATTAAGCTAATGATCAGACAGTGCTAATCCTTTGTCATGATTTAAAGCNAAAAAAAGTAAATAAATGAATTGTTTTTATTAAAGATTTTGATAAAATAACTGAAAAATGGCAATACAAATAGTCACTAAAATCAATCAATGTAATAACACAATGAATACTAATTTAACTATTTGTAGTCGAAATTAAATGTTTCATAACAATTTTGGAATTGCAACGTCCGTAAATGTGACATTTTCACGACACTGAAGATTGTTTTTCTGCGACTTTGTACTTATTGACGGTCCACAACATATTATTGACCGCTGGTGGACAGTTGCCGGGAAACAGTAAAATTTTGTGACTTTCACGTGGTACACTCTCGACCAATAAGATACTAGGAAAAGTGAACTTTGACACTTGATATATAATAATTCAACATACTACATAGAATTTCAACTTGGAGCAAAACTATTGCACAAACTAATTCTGAAAAGCTAATCGAGGGATTGTAGGGGAACTAGACTTCAAAACAACTGAAGGCTTACCTTTAATTGCCTTTAATATTCAAGAAGTAGCTTTTCACGGCGGTAGGAGGAGGTAAAACCCTATCTTTAGAACTAGAAATCGCCGCTGTATGCGTTGAAATGACGTACGCTTTGTCTGTTTTCTGGCGTGCGCAAGCAGAGCGCGCTTGATTAGAAACGCGCGCACGCACGCTCTTCCTGTTCTAAATTTAACGACACATGTTACCACAGGGAGTCCAAGCAATAATTTTTAATCTACAATCGTTAGAAAGAAAGAAATTTCATTTAACTTTAATTAATCAAATTATCACTTATTTTCAAACAATGACTCGGACTTCTGCTCTAACGGTTTATAACGATATAACATCCCTTGTGTGTGTATGATCGACAGATAGCCACGCTCGATCTGTCATGTGTGTACCAATTAGATTATTATACTCTTGTTTCGACTTCTTTACATAGTCTTAACCTTGAATGTGTGTAATACATTCCTTCACTCAGTAAAAACCCTACTTAGACTAAAAAAAGGATTACACAATGATAGTGACGTCATCACCAATGAGAAAGAAGGCAGCCCAGTACTTTGGATCCTTGTAAATCTCTGTTTCTCTCATCTCTTTCATTGCTTGCTGTAGACTCCTACTGGCACTCTCTCCATTCTTCAGGTACGAGTAGAATTTGAGCATGAATTCCTTCGTTGCTAAATCATCAATGGCCCACAATGACGCCACAACGGCACGGGCTCCTGCAGCGAGGAAAGCTCGAGTCATTCCAACGACTCCCTCGGACTTGATGTCTCCTCGACCACTGTGGCAGCAGCTCAGTACAACAAGTTGAGCACGAATTCCACTTTCTTGTGCGTCTTTCATTGTCAAGATGTA